AAACATTTAGAGGAAAGGTGTACCATATTTGCAACTAACAAATGATCCAGGAAAAAAAATCTGGGAGGTGCCAAATAAGGACTTCCTGTGTCTCCTTATTTATCCCTCATTCACGTGGGCATTGAGCAAAGGAGGGGTGGGAGTGAGGAGCAGCCCCCACACAGCTGTTCAGGGATGTCTGCAAAAGAAGCCCACCCACATTGCTTTTGGACACTGGGTGTGACTTAGAGGGTATCGAGTTTGTCTGTTAGGGAAACTGCCAACCTCCTCCCTCCCTGATTGGCCTCTGTGTTTCCTTGCATGCCCTCTGAATAGAAAAGTGTCCCTTTTCTCAGACACCCCCCTGAAGCGTCTTCTTTCTTCTCAGTAGACTGAGACAGCTTAACTATACATTTTTTCTATTTGATGAATTCCAGTGACCTGTAAGGAGGTGGAGGTCAAATCACAAAAAGCAGATGGCTAAGCTTGCAATGCATTTGCTTTTTCATTGATATAAAAAAGCTTTTGACCATAATCCAGCACTCATAAGTTCCAGGCCCAGCTTTACTCCTACTAGATGCCCGACTTCAGCAAATATTAGATTCATAGAGCACAAAGTCGGAAGGATTAGTAGGATTTCCCCACCAAAACAGAACTTGGTTTCCACTTCTATAAGATAGAGATTGTGGGGTTGAGCTGAAGTTATATACAGAAAAGTGTCTTAAAACTAAAAATCACTAAACTCCTCAGTCTCTTCTATTTGGGTGACACTGGATGGAGTTACTCCACCACCTCCTATGCTAGAAGATTCTCTCTTGATCCCTATGTTATAAAAGAGGGGCATGTCAGGGTGACTTAGAGAGGACAGGACCTGAGGTTCAGTCACCGTGAAACAAAGAAATTCAGCTTCTCTAATCACACGGCCACAGACAGCTCTAAGGAATGTGCGAGATCATCCACTTTAAGCCCCTCATGGTGGCATCTGTTGTTTTCAGTTGCCCTGTACCTACAGCCCTTTCCTTGGTTAATAGAACCTTTGTTTTCCTTTGGAGACTCTTTTTGCCCCAGTCTTGGTGGGCCAATCAAGGTGTTCAGACTTCTCTTGGCCAAACATGGCATCTTCCTTCTGAGAATTTGAATCTTAAGCTAAATAACTCAAGTTCGAAAAAACCTGTTGGGTCTGACTTATTCCTACGGTGGCACTGTGAAGTGACTCTATTCATTCCTGCTTTTAGATCCCTGAAGCTATCCCGGTTCCAGCCCTTTCCCAAACTTCGTTTTCCAACTTCTCTTCTAGTCTGTGTATTTTCATATTTTTTAAACATATTTTTTTAACATATTTTTATATTTTTGGTTTTAGTTAGCTCGAGTTAGTTTTTATTGCTTATAACAAAAGAATCCTCATTGATACATTTTTCCTCTTAAAGATTAAGAATCTAAGGCTCAAAGAGAGTAGTCTACTTGCTTAAGGTCAGGGAGTGAGTTGAGACCAGAGCCCAGACTAAACCCAGGTTAGCCAGTTTCTTTACACTACATCTGCTGCCTCCTCTAGAGCTGTAACAACCTTGGAAGGAATGAGCTATTGCTAAGGGACTTGTTGGATGTGTTATTATTGAGCTCTTAAAAAGTCTATTGGACTTCTGCTTCTGGCCATAACTGAGTAACTGAGACCAAAATTTGTTCTTAATAAGAGAAAAAAAAAGGAACAATCCACATGTTCAACAGCCATAAGAAAGAACCAGTTACTGATTTATGTAACAACGTGGATCTATCTCAAAAACAATATGTTGATTGAAAGAAACAAGACACAAAAGAATACATACTATGCACCTACAATACATGATATTCTAGCATTGTGCTGTGCAACGTGGTAGCCACTAGCCACATGTGGCCATTTAAAAATATGTTGATTAAGCTAAAAATAAACATTTAGTTCATTAGTCGCATTAGCCACATGTGGCTAGTGGCTACCATGTCGGATAGTACAAATATAGAATATTTCCTTTATCACAGAAAATTCTATTGGATAATGCTGTTCTAGAAAATATATATCCAGTATATAATGACAGGAAGCAAGAGAGTGATTGTCTAGGGCCAGCAGTGAGGGAGGATTAACTGCAAAGGGGTATAAGGGAACTTTTGGGATAATGGAATATTCTATATCTTGGTTGTGGTGGAGGCTACGTGGTACATAATGTGTCAAAGCTCCTCAAACTGAACACTTAGAATTAGTGAATTTCATTGTATGTAAATTATAGTTCAATAAAGTTGACTCTACAAGTAATGTGTTTTATGGAAGTTCTTTTTTAATCACTTATAATAGTTATTATTAGATGATTTTTGCAAAGATATAAACATGTTATTCATCCACTGGACCACATTTTGCTAGTCCCTGGAGCTACAGAGATGAATCAGATAGCAAACCCACCCTCAAGTTGTTCACGGTCCGGTACAAGAGATAGGTCTTATGCAAAAATAGGTCAAATCCAGGAAGAAAGTAGCAGGTGCTTGTACACAACTGCAGTTATAATGATTTAGGACATTAGAGGAAAGGGAGCGTCCTTTCAGCTGTAGGAATGAGAAAGGCTTCCAATTCTTTGATGGATTTGTGAGATGTGGATATATGCAGTTGGGTTTAAATACATTCTGGATTTCGGAAGAGAAAATATGATCCAAAGCAGGAAAGCAACCAGAAAAGTATGTAACTAGTGGATGGAATGCATAAAGGAGAGTAGCTGTGAAATAATTCACATGGATGTAAGCAAGAAGGGTTTGTTTTGAATACCTGAGTTTGGCAGAGTGCACATTCTTGGCTGCTAGGAGCTGGGAAGGAGAAAGGGTCCCTTTCTCTTACATCATGTCCAGAGTTCCAAGCCCCCAGTGCTGCTGTTTCCCCTAGCCCTCTACTTTCTCCTCCCCTAATACAAATCAAAATCTTCACAAAGAACATCATTCAAACATGTAGGTCATGGTCACAAAGGCAATTGCCTTCTCCTAGGCTTCTGTGTAGCTTATTCTATTACAATCTATGCCTAAAAGATTTAAGGTGCTGGAAAGCATCTAACTTGCACACCAATGAAATAATTTATACATTTGTAGAGTAATCTGAGTCCCCTGAGGGAAGAGGGACGTAATATAAATATGGGTGGCAATTATGGTAATTATGGTATAATTGTCATTTATTTTTCCAGGTTGTGGATGGTTGTGTGCTATTGGTGTGCTGTTGAATCCTAGAGAGTTTGCCTTTTTGCTCTTGGTCAAGACAACTCTCTGCATTCATTTCCACGATGCAATCGGAACCAATAATTATTCATATAAAAATTTTGGCATTTAATATTTGTCCCTCTTAGCTATATATGTAAATTTAGGATTTTAATAAGAAATATTGATGTCAGGACATACATTTAAATGGTCTTTTTTATAAATTAGGCTATAAACCTTTTGAAATTAAAAACGTGCTAGGAATGCTTGCAAACTGATAATTTATTTGGGAGTGTAGAGCCTCTGCTGGTAATTTAAAATATTTAGAAGAGTTCTGCTTATTTCCTAGAAGTAAATAAATATCAGGCCTGAAAAGAGCACTGGGTCTTGCTACTCAAAGTATGATGCAAGGACCAGCAGCACAGCATCACCTGGGAGCTTGATAGAAATGCAGAGTCTCAGGCCTACTGAACCAGATTCAGCATTAAAAGATTTCCATGTGACTCGCAGGTGTGTTAAGGTTTGAGAAGCACTGCACTAGAGATCATTATTTCACCTCTCATCTTATAAACAGGAAAACAAGGCCCTGTGCAATGGAACAACTTGACTATGGCCGAAGGAAATGGGGTATTTTCAATTTAAGAACTTTGTATATTCTGGTCATCTGTATTTGCCAATAGCAGGGAATGAAGCCAAACACTTTAACTCCAATTAACAAATCTATAATTAATTAGTAAAATGATCTTGCCTTCAAGATTCACATTTTGTAGAACAAGCTGTTTGATTTGGCTGGGGCTCAGGCCGGCATGTTTGTGAATTTCACAATTCACAGATGTTAGACACTCTCAGGCTAAGTAAGGGAAGAGAATGTCAAGTTTTAAATAGCTTCTCCCTTCTACCCTGGCTGAAGCAACAAATAAAATATTTTTATGAAACACATTTTGAACCAGAATTTCTTATAAGCAAATGTCAGATTTCTCTGAAAAGGACTTTAGATTGTCTCACAACTTTGACAACTACTGATGTCACCAGTTTACAGGTGACCTGTAATTAGGGGGTGAATGGAGAATGTGAACTTGCCATGTTAGTGACACTTGGACACAAACTGTTTTTTTTTTTTTTTTCTGTTGGAGTCTATTTTAATTTAGCTTCTGAATCATATTTCATTCAATTTCCAAATCCATAAAACCAGGACAGGTTTACAGCCTGCATTCAGAAAGGAAGTAAACTATTCTGTAGATAGACTTTTCTGCTACTATATTAATTTTTGGATATATGAACATTTTAATAGTTTTACTCCAAAGTAGGTCGAACCAAAACAAAACCAAAACCAGCAAAAACAATAAGACATAAACAAAAGAGTGAGACAGACTGAGAGAGATTAAAATAGGCTAGAATGTTTCCATTAACAGGCAATTTTAAATAAATTTGTAAGTTTCAAAATAGTCTAAGATATTATTTTCCATTTTAATATCATTTTAAGAAAATTATGTGTGTGTGCTTGAGGTAGAATACTTAAAAAACTCAATAAAGGACATTTTCTTTCATTTGGGGTAGCAAAGCTTCTAAGGGGATGTGAATGGATATCTCTTTCTCTTAGCTGAGACGAAGAGTGAGTTCTAGGTTAAATATAATCAAGGAATTTCCCTGTCTTTGCTATTTGAGATTGTGACCACAACAGGCGGTTGGCTGAAAGGGAGAATGAAAGGGAGGGTGAGGGGGAGGTGGAGATGAAAAAAAAAAAAAAACAACTCCCTAAGCAGCTCTGTAAAAAATTAGCTCCAGAAGCAGTCACAGAAGTCCTCAAATCAAATCAGTATGCAAATACAAGGAAACGTTAATTAGCTGGAACAGGGTGGACACCGATCAGCTCAGTTCTGTTAGAAAAGTCCAAGCTGCTGAAATTAAACTCTGATGCCATTCATGCCAGCATCCAATCACCAGAGAGACCAGAAGTTCAGAGATGCCTCCAAGCTGCCAACAAGAGTGGCTACTATACGTCAAGGACTCTAACGCTGTGGTACAGGGGGAAGAACAACTTTAGAGATGATGCCCAGCTGGTAAGATTTGACTGTTTCTGATGTTTTAGTTACTGGGTGAATCTCATTGGCTAAAATCAAGAAATGCTCCGCCTCTTTGCAAATATGTGTGAAGGGGGAAGTGTCTAAACTTCTATGTCTGATAGCATTTGACCCTATCGCTTTTAGCCTCCTGGCTTTATATCTATATATACACAGGTATATGTGTATATGTTATGTAATTGTTCTCCATTTGTTGATATCAAAGAGAATTGAAGGAAATGAATTTTGAAACTTCACGGTGTGCCACCCTACAGTACTGTCCCGACCCTTACATCCAGCGGTGAGTTTAACGTGACGTAACTTCTATCAAACTTAACTGGAGTGCCTTGTGTATTATGAGTGTTTCTGCCGTGTACAAAGAGCAACTCCTCCTTGTTTATGAGCACAGTGATATTATTTTGGACTTTTCTGTGGACTTAAAGTGGTCTGTGGGCATCTTTTCTAATTTTCTTTTTTAGTTCATGTCTGGACCTACAAAGTGTCAAAAAATTCGAAGACAATCCTTCCCACGGTTTCTTAAAAAATTATCATACCATTTTAAGAGGTTTAAAATCTGTTATTTGCCTTGCTCAGCACTCACCCACCCAAGAAGAAGAAATTTCATTGGACAGGGATATAATAATCCATGGATGATCTTCAAGTCAAAATAAACACAGAATAATTTTGATTTATACATTAAAAAATAGATAAATAGCCATCGTTATACCAAACAGATTGTGGCTTGTCATTTTGGCTCTAAGGAATATTTTCTTCTTGACTTGTTTCATAACAAACATCATCTTTTGACAAATCTGACTTTTAAAACTTATGATTATACAGAATTTTATTTATGTTTGTAGGAAGGAACATTTGCCTAGCACTAAGAGGGAATATTAGTGAGCAGGCACGATGTGTGTGTGTATGTGTTTCAAATTAGAGTTTGCTATTTTTAAACTGGTAAATGAAATCTGAACAGTGTTTTTCCAGTCATAAAGTTATGGGAGATATTCGAGTCGTACGTAGCAGTGTGATGTTGTTAATTTAACAGCATGAGATTTGATGTTGGAATTTCGTACTTTATTTTATAAGACTAATGAGAGAGGTCCTCTGAGTGTTGAAAACAGTGGGGTTCCAAAGGGTTAATTTGTCATTCACCACCGGTGCCTACTGGAGCCTCATACCACGAGTGGAGTGGGCTCTCTGGGCAGGGCTGTTACTGTCACATTGCCTGGGCAATTATGGAAGATGTGTGGTCTTTCTTCATTAATATGATTTGTCACCATGTAGAACACTAATGTGGACTATGTAGACTTTGCTTCTCTTCCTGGGAGGTTTCTGGTGGGCTGTGGAGAAAGCAGAAGAGGAAAAGTAAGGCAGAAAGGTAAATGGGGTGGTGGAGAGACAAAGAAAAGAGAGGGAGCAAAAGGAAAGAAAGAGAGAGAGGAAGCATATTTGTGGTCTTCTAGGTTGAAATGGGAAATGTGAATGATGTGTTGGCTCCTGCCCTGCTGTCTGCCACGAACAACAATGTTAGTAAAAATAAACGGCTCTGGAGTTTATGTTCTTGGGTAACTTGAAAATTAGATTTATTTGGAGTTGAGGATTGGGTTGATAAAGAGAAAAACACCAAACATTTTCTAGTTCTCAAATTTTTTTCCAGCCTCAAGATTTTTCATTCCACTAAAAATCTTTTAAAATAATATTTCTCAAAGCATAATTCTGATGAAACATTAGCCATATAATGCTTCCGTTGAGAGCATCTTTTTTAAAGTAGCTACTTGGATCTACCTCAACTCTAGAAGAAACTTTCTTCTATTGACTAGCAACCCACACGTTGATCCTGTATACCTCTGTCCAGAGGCATTTCTAGTGATTGATGAGAGAAGCCTGTAAATATAAATAAATGAGGAAATTGCTTTTTATATTGTCCCAGCAACCTGTTAATTCATGGAGCAAATATCATCTCAGTTTTTGACGGATTGTAAAATTCAAAATAATAATAGTACTTTAAATAAAATAGTTTTAAATTTTGCTCAATGCCCAGAGCTTTAATCACAGTGGGTGTCACTTTTGGGGAAAGGAGGGAGGCATGTTGAGGAGCTGTGAGATTGGGGTGTAGAGTGGTCAGGGAACATTTATTTGTGTAATAAATCATTTTAGGCAAGATTATGTACTTTCCTTTTGTAATGAAAACTTAACTAGCAAATAAAGAGCAGAAAAATATTTGTTTGCTGAGCAATTACTCCATGCAAGGCAGTGGAAATAGAAAAACGAACAAGATATGGCTGTAATGTTCATTTTTTTAACTCTGTAGCACTTATATATTTAATAATAAATACATTTTCCTCAAATATTTTAACTGTTTTTCACATATTTTAAGGATCGAATTATTACTGTTTTCCTGTCTATATTACTTAGTGAATAAATGAATGAATTTAAGTGAAATACACTGTAAGAAACCTACGATACTGTATGTTGTCAAAGCAAGAATCAAACAATATTCTCTATGATGCCTAATGAGTGAATGGGTTTGAGTTGGTTTTTCTAAGCAGACAATCCTTGTAGTTCTCAGTTTACAAAATCTATTTTAAGAAAGACCAAATTTAATCATTCCATAATCATAGTCATCTACATAGTTAAATTTGTCTTTTTCCTGACCTTGTCTTTAGAAAGAAGTCATAAAAGAGAATTTTCAAAAAAGGAAAGAACAGGATGTCTTGTTATTTTTAACTCCAAGCTACCTTAATGCATGAATTTCCTTTTGTCACAGAAGAGCATAAATGCTCTTAAGAGAGATGCTATTATCATTTCTTACTGAATGTTAACGCCATTCCCAAAAAGCCAATTTTAATATACATATCAAAGTACTATGATAACCATTCTCTCAGTTAAAACAGAGATTTCACCTTTTTTTCTTTGCACCTGAACATACTGACATATTATTCATTTAGTTGTGCTCTGATGTTGACTCTAAATTACTTTAGTCTTTATAGAAACTTTTGTGAAAATCAAAAGAGTAGTTGAACTATAGAGCTTAGATTTCCTCTTTGTTGTTATTGACCATTACAAAGAAGAAGAGAAGGTGGACAAAATCCCAAGTCATCATTTTATTGCTAATTTAATTTTAACGAAAATATCGAAGCATAGATGAAATTATGCAAGATCAATAATTAAGAGCCAATGAGTAAATTACCATTTCCTTATAAATGAAAACGAGATGTAATGAGTTCTGTTTATTTTTTACTAGGTAAATACTTAAAATGAATCTAAAATTTAGCACGTTAGAAACTAAATCCTTGTTAATTTATTGTTTGGGTTATAATGGGCTTTCTTGCATCGTTCAGTTTTTAGAATTGCCACTAGTTTTTAAAATAGATTCTTTAACCAGGTAATTCTAAAAGACAGATTAAATTATTTTAAAGTGTCATTTTAAAAATAAACCAGTTAAAATGATAAAAATGAATCAAGATTAAGTTTGGAAATAGTGTGAGACCTGAGGGCTAAAAATAAAAGAAAATGAAACATACTACAATTTGAACCACTCGTAACATGATTTTGCCGTATTTCTCTCAGTCATTCTCTACTCAAAAGAAGCTCAAACTGTTAAAGTACTATATGGATGAGTAAGAAGTATTTCCTGTGTAAATTACATATTGATTGTGAATTTTATGCTTTACTAGCTTAAAGGTCAACTTTATTAACCGTGCTTTCTAAATATATCCCAAAAGGAAGGGTGGTGACAGTGAACTTATAGTGGAAGATTATTTCATTTGCCAAATAACATCACATAAAGGCAGATATAGTTCTGTTTTGGGTGTCTTCCACTTACCTCTCCACATTTGCCCTCCATCCTTCTCCTTCTTGCTCTGTACCCCAGGAAACTGACTTCTAAAGATTGCATTGACAGTTCCTTACTATTCTGCTTTCCTCTTGGGTTCAACCAGTGGGAACCTCCAGCAAGAGATCGGAGGGCACTAGGAGAGTGAAGTTGGGATATGTATTTCCCTGGCTACCTCCCTGTAAGGTTTTGTACTACAGGCTGTAGGTCCTGTCAGAAGTCCTTGCCACAGATCCAGGTGTCCTGAGTTTAAGGAACTGCTCCTTACCCTCTCTTTCCTTCAGGCTTAGGGGTGGTAACCATTCCTAGCCACTGCTAACTCCAAAAACCCATACCATACCCCTTATCCCTTGATAAATAGTCCCTTCCTTAAACTCTCTTCAATTACTCTTTTTTAAAGTGCTCTTTTTCCTGCCAAGATCAGGATAAGTACAAAAATAAAAATTATGTCCCTAGTATTGTCTATGAGCATCTGAAGACTTCCAAAATTGCTATAGCATATAATAATATAATATAAGTCTGATGTGACATAAAGGATGTATCCATCCATTTCAGTGAGCAAACCAGTTTTTAGTAAGGCTAATCCATGAATTTTAGCCATCTCCATTATCACTAAGTTTCTCTATTCGACTGAAAGGAATGAGCCAACATGCTGCAGTCTGTGTATATTGTTTATATCAGTACTTGAAGTGAGGCGGACGGCAGGAAGAATTGGTTCATAATGAAATACGAAGGTACAACTTATGGACAGGGATTAATGTATGCGTCAGTTGTAACAAAGGGTTCCAAGTCTCTTGACTTCGAACCCTTACAATTTTCACAAGAATGAGTTTCAAAAGACCGTCATGACCAACTGTGGTTAGCCTAAAGTATGATGGGTTATAATTCTGTATGCTGCTGCCTGAGCTGTGAGGGCATCTAAATGGCAGAGAGGCAGGAATGTGTGTTAGCTGAGTGCACGCAGGACTTGTCAAAAGATCTGGATAATAGTCTTAACTCCACCACTATCTGATTATGAGAACTTCATGAAATCACTTAAGCTACCTAAATCAAAGTTTCCTCATAAGGTAAGTAGAGATAACAACCGCTAATGACAACCAACTGTTCACAACCAGAACTTTGAGAATTAAATACGAACGTGACTAAACTCTGAAATGTTTAG